AATACACACTGCTTTAACAGGCAATTTTCAAATTTGCTGACCACTTAATTTTGCAGTTTGAGAAGGATGCACGTTTTCCAACTTTTAATGAAAAAATACTAAGGATAAAATGTTTTTGAAGCTTAATTCATGGAGTTTAACAGTCTTTAGCAAAGCATAGACAGAAATGCTGCAAGCTGTCACAGGAAGAAGTTTGACAGGTAAAGCCAAAGAGAAGCTCGGAGGGAGATGGATGGCAGTCTAGTGAACAAGTACTGGTAGGGTTATTAGCAGAAAATGCTATAAAGCAGAACTTTGGGTGAAGGTGGACACGTGCAAAGCAAGAGGAAGTATAAGAAATAAACAAGTTAAGTTGCACATGAGTTCCTACTGCATGCTTGCACATCTGAAGTCTAGAGTCCTCTGAAATCAGCCAACAAAAACTAGAATCAAAATCAGCAGCAGAAAATCCTGCATGCAAGAAGTGTGGAGAAGCACAAGAAGATATCTAATAAAGTCTACATTCAAGTGCAACTCAAAATGTGGCAGGTAGAAACTGGAAAATGCAATGGGATTAGAAAAAATTTCTAATGGGATTTCTATAATAGTCAGAAATTAAAGATAACCTCGTGGAGAAACTACAGGAAGTTGGAGGACCAGCTCCTTCTCCTGTTCATATCTGTTGCAACTCTTTCCAATGACAGTAGAGGGTATGATGTCCATTCCATTTCACTAGCTAGAATGATCCTTAAAATTTATAATTAAGACATCAATATACAACAACTCAATGTTCTCAGAAGTGAGAAATGGAATAAAACCTGAATGTCTGAAAGTGAAATTGAAGAAAAATCTGAGGTTAAAATGAAATTACACAAATGAAGGTATTTTGAAACATGCACTGAAATTTTTGCTTATATTTCAAGCAGCAAACTAATATTTTTACAAAATTAATTGAAAGGCTACTATATGATGGTCCCTGGCTTTGAAATTTTAGTATGATTCTACAGTGTGAAGTAAACTAAATGCAAGAACTGCAGTCATGTAATACATGGATTTTTACTTATGATTGAACAGGTCACTTAAGAATGTTGAATTCAGTTTATCCTAACAAAAATATTATTGTTATATAGTTAATATTTCCTTACTAGAATGACAAATTATCAATTAATTAATGTATGTTGCAATTGCAGTTAGCTTGAATGAAAAACAGTGGAGTATTTAAAGTACAGTGTGTAATAATACTCCTGGCATTTTGTAATAAAAACCCCACACTGACAAGTCCTTAGCAACTTGATTTGCCAGTGCAGAACCCTTTTTTCCCCATAACATTATAGACAATATATCATTGTTTTCTTCCTGTTCACATACATGAACATTATTTTCCTGCACCAAAATACAAGAATTTGGCATAGAAAGACAGACAATTTCTAAACACACCAATAGTTTGTGGAGTGTTTGATTTCCAAATTGTCTACCTCTAGTAAGATAATTTTGAAGCCATCCATTTGAACTGTTAGGAGAAATCTAAAGGGTTACAGACATTTCAAACAAAACTATTTGTACATTTCAGTCATAAAGTATTTGCCTATTTCTAGAAAAAAAAAAAGGGGAAAAAATGAAAGAAATTTGTACTATATCCAAATGTTTTTAAGATGTAAATGTACTTGTCATCTTTCATGTAAGCAGGGTGCTCGTGCCCCAAATTAAACAAAAGAAGAAAAGTTAGAGTTGACAAGTATGTCACTGCATAACTACAAATTAAATATGCCTTTTAATATTTCATTTTTAACTGTTGAGTACCTTTTCATAAGGCTATTGCCATTACAAAGTTTTTACTAGATTTTTAAATTAGACAAATAACGGATAAGAGATGTGACAAGTGTAAAAAACCTGATTTAGCAGATCTGACGCACTTAATCCTTTATGGTATTAGCAGTATTTGATATATTTGAAATGTTTCAAACAATGCTCCCTTAACATGCCAAAGAAGAAATTCAGATTTAACTCTACTACATTCAATTTATGCCAAGTACAGAATGAATATATAAAACCGACAAACAATCAACTTTCAGCTGAAAGTGCAAAATGACCTAAAACTTTCAAAGAAATGTGAAAATTTAAATACTACAAACCCCCCCCCCATATCTGCCAACACTAATGAAACACAAAATATACATATTTAAGGAAGATTGTTAGAATAGCATCTGGAACTCTGTATGCTGTGAATTTCAAGTGAATGCTGGCTAGACTGAACAGCAGCCAGCATTTAAAAATAAGTTATGAAGAGAGATGCCAATATCTGAATTCCTCAGAAAAATAAATGAATACCAACTTTCTGTGTGGTAAACAAATCCATACTTACTACAGTCTCAAACTGATGTACTAAATATAATAAAACTTGCCCCATTATGAAGAGTCATTTGACATTTGCATGCAAAAGGTGACATTAATAACCTGTATATATATAATATATATAAGACTGAATGCTCACATGCAACAACAACTGCTTGTACAGCACAAACTTCAATACACAGAAATCTTTTCTATCCATTTTCAGAGTAACACAACCACCTCATTCACTCTCCAAAAGACTGTAGGCTTGCAATTTAGAAAAGATCACCAAGCCTAATTTTGTCACGAGACTAAGATGTAACACACGCATCACAACAAAACACAACTTAATACCAAAAAAGAGAAGAATGAACAGGAACAAAAAACCCCACCTTGTACACTGAACTATCAGATTGACCAGCATACACAAAAATAATCTAAAACCATATGTGGCAACTGATTAATACTATTGTTTCCTATTGTTCCTTTCATCTCTTTTAATTTTGTTAATACTGTAGAATAAATTAGAACAATGTTTCAAATAAGAAAAAAGAACTAAACTAAATTTCATTATTGCTCTATGTTAAAACTGAACTCTTTGTTGTAAAGACTCAGAAGTCTACATTGAAATTAAAATGAAAATATAAATGAGTTATTTATTAACAATAAATCTAATAAAGTTAATAAAACTGCCTTCTAACTCCAGCAGTCACACCTCAGATCAAAATAAAGGGCCAAATGTAAAATTACTTTGTGCATAAGTTCTCTCTGATATTCAGAACTTACATATTGAAAAGAACATGCATGCTGAAAAATTAAACAATAAAAGCTTTAGCACATAGGCTAAATGAAACTTTGCCCCATGCAAACCATTTATCCTTTTTTATGTTTAAAACTCTGACAAAAAACATATGTATAAGTAATCACTGATAATTACAGGACAGTTGCCTAAATGAGCAAGGCATATGCTTTTTCCACACTGACATCGTATGAGACTTGAATATCATGTATTTTTCAAAGCTTGTTAAAAACAAAAGATTCTTAATTTAATTCTAAATTCTCCTTCTGAACTGTTTGTTTAATACAGTTCTTCTCATTCGTCTATTTTCCCACGAATTTTATGATGCAAGGAAGTGCTGCCTTCAGTACTTATAGCCTGCAAAGATGCCCATAATAAATAGAGTGCCAAATTTTTCTGAATATTCTATACCTTACAAGGCATTAGCTAGTCAAATAACCCGATATAATCAAACTGACAGGAGTCAAAGAAGCCATTCTAAAGACAAAGACAAAAATGCTTAAGAGAGGTACTAACACGACATAACAAACACTCTGGACAGAAACTTGCCTCCCCCTCTTTTCCCCTCCTAGACTATCCTTCACTCACTTCTCAAATTCTGTAAAAGCTAAAGCGTAGATTTTTGCCTGTACCAATTCTACTTAATACAAAATCCAGTCGTATCTCCGAAAAGAGCTGACACTTTATGAAGCAAGGCAAGTGTACTCATGTGAGAAAAAATATTATTATTAAAAGATTGAATTATACACGGTTGTCTTTGAGTAGTTTTTCTATGTACATAATTTTTTACTGATACGGAAAAGAAAGTAAGCAAACAATGAGAAAGGAAACCAGAAAATTCTCTTACTACATGGGTCTATGCGGTTCAAGAACAGAATTGGCAATAAATACAGGTAATTTCTGTACAGTAAATTTATATGGATTCATTCATTTGGCTTATGATGTAGAGCTTGACTTTTATAGCCCTGATTCTAAAAAAAGAAACAATGTTGATAGCACTGGCAAGGCAAAACCCTAAGATCCCTTGTGCTTTTAAGCAAGCACTTGCAGCTCTTGATTCACAGGTTATCAGTGTGCTTCTTATAATTACATGTGTGTCCAATTTTTAAATACCACAAGATTTGTACTAAGCCTGTCACATATAACTCTGAAAAAAAATCAAAACAAGAAAGTGCAAATTGATTAAGAGAAGTTCACCTTCAAAATGCCATGTACCATGTCACTGTAACTAATTTCTACTTAGTATTAACCAGACATTCATGTGATAAGTGATTTAGATGTATCAGTTTTCGATACAATAAATTACATATTCAAAAGGACCTAAGGGTGAACAGTATGCACTACTGTCAAAAAAAGGACTCATTTATATCATGCTTCCTTAAAACAGAAGCTTTTAAAGCACCTAGATAATGACTAACATTTCAGTCATTTTAAATACAGTGCCTGCCCTTCAATGGTTTAACATTCTTTGCTGAACTACTGTTACAATATGCATTTTCTCATAATTTTTTTAATTTCAGAACTGTAATTACATCTATTACTAAAGTAGTCATTCTCTAGGGAAAAAATCCCAAACTACCTCAATGAATTTCATAAGAAAATAGCAAAGATGGCTTTTGTAATTCTTTCTATTATATATAAGCAATGAAGCAAAATAATCACAAAAAACAAGTATTAAAGAGATTATCAATAATGAAAGCAGCTTTAATAATTTGTAGGTATTTGAAAAATGATTTAAGAACGAAGTAAAGTCTGTGAGAAAGAACTTATAATGAAAACTTGTCAAAAGTTAAAAACATAGATTAGAAAAAAGTTTTTAATTGTATAGTATATTTTAACTCCTATCAATCACTGTTAAAATAATTTCATAGTTTAATAAGCAGATATTTACCTGTTGGAACAAGACAATCTTTCCAATCAAAATATCCTGCATAAATGCCAGGTTCTAATGACCCTACTATTGGATCTGCCTTGAATTCAATGTACATTTCAAACAGTCTTTGATCCAGCTCTTTCAAGGATTCCATACTAACCTAAAAATAACAAAAAAAAGATAAAAAAGAAAGAGAAAGAACATAATAAATAGTCATTAACTACAAGAATTAAATCACATGCCCAAAAATTTTCCTCATGCCTTCTTTAATTTTCAGTAAAAAGTAGCAATTACTGACATTTCAATTCATAATTACATATATAAAAGCCTAAGAACTTCTATGTTACCTGTCCATCCTACCTAGATTAATTTTTTTTTCTGATTGTACTCAGAAACAGACATTTTTGTGAGAAGTCTAAGGATCATTTGCTAATTGTCTACTGTCATGAATTCCCCCCCCTCCATGTCAGGAGGTCTTTATCTTGCAAAGTAAACAACTGAATTTTGTCATGTTAAAATATGCCCATAATAATTTCCATCATGACACATGAAGACTTTTGTATGATACTTTATATCTATCAATTGTAATTTTACAATTTCTCACTATCCTCTCCATATTCAAAACATACATGATTTATTTAGGAGTCTTTCTCTGCCTTCTGAATCTGAACATATGGACTTTCCCTCTCTACTTGAAGGCATCTCTAGAGCAGAAGCACAAGCTGAAGCTCACAACATTCGCAGAATTTTACTCTTTAACAGCTCTCCATGCTTTTTTTTAGTAATTCACACAACTTAGCTGCACTGAAAGCTAAAGGGATATGCATAGCTTGTTCATTGTATCTAAACAACTTTAAATTTTATACAAGACTTTTTATTAAACATAGGTGCCCCCTGTAATTATAGCTTCTACAACAATTCTAGAACACGAATGTTAAATGAAAATAAAATGAATATGAAAATTAAGATGAAAATATCATGTGACTTCAACTTAAATGTATTTACCTTTATAAATAAGAGCTTAAGCAATACTAAAGTAAAGCTTTTAAACCAGTTTTCCTTTTCCTTTTAACAATTAGTGCAAAAAGCACACACAAACATATAAAATACATATAAATGATAATTTCCAGAAGCAAAGGAGTTTAAAAGCAAGGAAGAAGGTAGGTCTCTAGACCAGACTGGGAATTTAGAAAAGAAAGAAAAGAAGAATACCAGCATCTTATCATTCCTTCGTAATTGACTAAACTGATGATAAAAAGTTGAGTTAAAGAATCCCCACAGAAGAATACTTACAAGAGTTATGTAGAAATAAAATTACAGCTGAATACCATAAGTATGTGCCAAGATAGCACATGCTAAAGCACAGTGTAAAGTTTAGCTGTTTCATATAATTTTGTATTTTAACATTAATTAAAAATGGAAATAACCATGCAGAATGTAAGGAAATGTTCTTCGCTACCATTTTATAACTTCTGTATTTTCAGAATATTAGATAATAATGATTTCCCTACTAACAAAGGCAACTTTAAAAAATACCCAACCAAAGAACAGATAGTCTTTTACCAAACACACTAACAAATTCACTTTAAAATTCAATTTATAAAGCTGACAGAATTTAAAAGTACAGTTTTATTTCAATCTTCTCAGACAAAAACTAATTCTACTCTTAAAAAAATTTCCCAATTCTTTATTGCATTTCTTTTTATCTAACATTTAAATAAATTTAAAAACTTACAGAAGTTTAGGTGGCAGAACAAAAAATTGAAAGAACCAACCCACTCCTCTAAACATCTGTGAGCTTCTCTTAAAATTAATGAAGGGCTCAAAAATTCCCCTCTTGAGACGACTATCTAATTATCCAAATTCTCCCAGCTAGTATTACCAATACTACTATACTCATACATGCAGCATTTCACTAGTCAGCGCTTTCAAAGGGTTAACGCAGATTTGAAATCAATCTACCACTTTAACATTTGAATTTGGTAATTTATAAACCTACCAAACTTTTAGTGGCATTACTTTGATGTGGCTGTACAAGGTAGGGTGTTGAATACATACATACACAGCAGATGTCTCAGTTGCTTCTACAGACAACAGTAACTGTACTTAGTTCAACTCTCAGTAGCAAAAAACAGCAATATCCAGAGTAATCTTCTATATTATACTAACCACACAAATTTTAGTAATACCATTTAAATGTTATTCAAAATTACTTCAGCCATAGAAATTCAAACAACATTCAGGCATTATGGGACTAAGGAGGTGCTACATAGCAGAACAATCAGTTTGAGTGAAATACTGTAGTCTGTACTGGAAAAGATAACATTTTACTTCCAACTAACAAATATTTCTGGAAATAAACTAGCTTTATGGTCCTAAGGATTAAGTCACAACATTTCTCATAAGAAATGATTAATCTTTACAAAAAGGCAGGAAAATGAGACAGCCACTGCCACCCACTTTGACATTTTCGTTCTTTGAAAAAGAAAAAACAACACCCCCCCCAACACAACAAAAAACCCGTGAACTAGTTTATGAACAACAGCTATCAGTAATGCAGATTGCCAGATGAAATAATTTATCAAGTGTATTTCTGAGATAACGATCTTTTACTCTCTGCATTGAGAGAACACAGTGACATTAAACAGCTTTACTAAGAAATCTGATAAGCTTTGCCATTGAACACACAAGTCCTGAGGAAGAGGTCACATTTTCTACACAAGCTATTTAAGCCTTGTATGAACACATACAGCCATATGCTCGTTGTTGCGTCCCACTGATGCTCGGAGTCTCCCTCATTTGTGGAAGGCTCACCTAAGAGTCCTTTTGGCTATTTGATACTTGCACCTACTTTGCACAGAAAGTAAACCAAAAAGAAATCTGTTTCCTTCAAGCAGTGGTGATTATTCCAGTGCTCTCACTTACTTGAGTTATTTTATCGACACCTTGAAAGCCATGTTTCTCAAAATGTTCAGCTATATTTAAGAAGGTATGACGTTCCAGGTAATGGCAGTTACTGAGTGCAATTAAAAGTCTCTGTTCCTATAAATTTGTTTTAAGAGAAGAAAAAGTATAATAGTTAGAAAAAAGAAATATCAGCATAACCAATACTGTAAACATATATAGAGTATTTTATTGGCTTTCTCTGTATGATAAATACACACATGCTCATAAATAAGGTGGAGTATACAAATACTTTTGTCAATAAACTACTGAGAACTGAGTGAGTATCAGGTATGATGACTGAACATTCATGCTTTTTCTTATAGGATCCGGGGCATTCATTGGAATAGTTGTGACTAATAGAGAACTGCGGTTAAGACTTCTTTACGAAAATTGGGTTTGGACAGCTTTCCAGGAAGCTATTTCTGGATTTTACTGTGTTTCAAGAATTATGCTAACAATTATGACCATCATAAAATCAACTGAATACCATCTTCACTTTTACACAAAGCTGGCTAAAGCAAGGGAAGCAAAACAGGTACTGAACAAATGCACACCCACCCTAAAGTACTAGAAGGTTCAGAAGTATAATACAATTTCAGCCCTTCGAAAAAATTCTAGGTGGTTATATCTTCTCTCTGTTCTTCAACGATTTTTTTTTTTGATTACAAGGGAAATAAACACATTCTGGAGTTGAGGTACCACAGTTGCCTTTCCCTGACTTTGATGTAAAAAGGTGTAGTTTCCAAACAAAGAACCCAACAAGACAGAACCACTATTTAAATGGATTGGGTGTTCCCTCTTCCCTTCTCCTTCTTCTAATGGTAAAACATTTTTCTACCTCAGATGGAACTTAAAAGTCAACCAGGAAAATATTCTGAAAACAAAATTATTTGACAATGAAGTCATTATAACAGCACTGATTTGATTAAAAATGGTATTGGTTTTCAGACCCAGAACTCCTGACAGTTCTGTATTTTGGTAATATGATGACTAGTTTTGAGATGTGCAGTTGCCCACTACTTTAAGTTATAATCAGAGTGTTCAAAAAATGAGAATTTAAAAAATACAGTGACCAATATTACTCTGATCACTCACTTTCTCTGTTCTCATTCACGAAAGACAAAACGTTCTGTGATTTATATTAGAGAAATAATAATACCATGGAAGCCAAACATTGTCTGAAATTGTTGATTTCTTCTTTTCTATTTAAATGTTCATACCTATGAGATATGGCAGGAAGTCTCAGTCCCCAAAAAGTTAGATTTTTATATTAATTGTTGACAAAGTTAAGTGCTGCAACAATGATATAAAGAATATCTGGAAATTTTTAGTAGCTTCTAGATATTATAATTTGTAATAATTATTAATGTTCTACAATACAGAAACTTGTCCCAATTTGGCAGTCTGTGATTCTTTTATTGTAGCAGAAATGCTTGCTGCTCTTGTAAATGAGGCAAAACTGGGCTTCTGACAGCATTTAAAACCTGTACTAGGGAATACTAACTTCTCAAGAGGTTCTCACTACCTCAAGTAGTAGTTTTTGCAGGTAAAGTACTTGCAGGTAAAAAACTACTTTTTTTATCAGTTCCTGAACTAGAAAGAAAACATATTGACCAAAGTGTCAAGAATATCAAAAGCCTTTTTTCCAATTTCCTAAAAAAACAAAATCAAGTTGTCAAACAAATAATCAATACTTCAAGTAAATTTTCTGGGGAAAACTACATTACTGATTTTCTGTATCTCCATGCGTTTTGAAAAGATAATTAGACTGTTTCTAATTTAAAACAAGGTGAAAAAAATCAAATGTCATAACACCAGTGCTATTTTCACTGATTTCTGTGATGCCACTTTAGTTTCTGAGAAGGACTTGCTTTCAGAAATCATCTTCCTTAGTTACCTTAAGACAGTACACTAGGATATCATAAAAAATAGTGCTTTTAATAAGAGCTTTTTATTTAAGCCCTATATCCTTATATGCTTATGTACCTAGGAAATGCCTCTAGAATACAAAATTGTTCTCTACAAAAAAAGAAAACAATATAAACAATTTTTACAATATTGCAATGATAAAAAAGAACCACATTCCTGTAACTTTGAGAAATATTTTCACAGTAGCTTTTAGAAACAGAAGCCAAACTTACTGAAGAAAGACTTGAGTCTTCATGAATGCTTCCAAACAAATCTGGAGATGAAACATCAACTGAAAGACTAGGAATATTGTTTAAAAAGTGAGTAGTATAGTGCTTTTGACTATTTGATACATCATGGATTTAACTGAACAGGAATGAAACGGAATCTTGTTTTAAATCCCCTCACACAGATAACAAAGCAGCCCATGTTGTTCAGTTTTTCCAAGATGCCCACAAAGCCTTGCAGGAATTTGGTGGACTGACACTGCTGTTCTAGCTACAGACACTTCCTTCTTAAAGCATTTTATTTTTCTTTCTTTAATTTCTGCTTTGCCACAGATTCTGTTTTGGTTTTACACCTATCCATCCAACAGTCATTCACAAAGGAAGAAATAATAAAGTGCATTAAAAACAGAGTTAATTTGCCTTTTCTTAATGTATATTGCAATATTTGTCTAGTCTCTAGTTTTTCACAAATGAAAGCTTTTAACTCTTGGAAAACTCAGGCTACTTGTTTTGGTCTCAGCAGCACACAATTCATGTCACTGAATAACACTGTATAAATAATGTCATATTAATTTTCTTGTACAATATTTATTACGTAATGTCATGCAACTGTTTGGCATAAAGCTATATGTTCTTATTTCAAAGTATTACTATTCAGAGGCAAAAGTATTCACAAGAAATATGAAATACAGAAGGGATAAAGCCTCATCCCCACTGAAATGTAAGACTTGCATCCACAATTTCAGAGTACTACACCTAAATCTTATTTCTTTTTACTTACTGTGATGTATCTATGTCACCATCAGGTTTGGTGCTCAGTTGTTCCAAACAGTCTATAAAGACCTAGGAAACAACAAAATAAGATCTATGTTTTCTGCCAGAACTGGGGAAAAAAAAAAAAAAAGTCTTAAATTCACTTTTACTACAGTCAATAGAAGCAGAACAATCATCATCACCTTTCTTTGCCTTAAATCTTACATAAACACAGCAAAATTTCAGTAAAATTTGAATGCATATTTTCTACTTTGTAGGTATCATAGTTTACTCGTAGCAAAACACAAACATTTTTAATACTGGTAAGTCATTTTCATCATGTCTAAAATGATACAGTGATAATCTGTTGCTTTGCAAAGAAAGCATTGTTAATAGTTGTCATGTGTTCAAAATCTAAACACTGGATCCCCACGAGAAATTGCAGAAACCTCACTAAAATTCACTTTTTGCTTTGGCTTATGTTTTCTTATTTGAGGAGACAATAAAAATCCAAAGAATGCCATTTAAATAGATTTAAAAAAAATAGGATTTTGTTACAAAGAATATTGGGGTTTGATAAAAAAAATCAAAAGCTAGATCTTCAGCTGATGAAAATCAGCATTGCTCCTTTCACTGCAGTATATAGATGTTAGATGGCATCAGCTCAGTAAGTGTCAATCGTCAGTAAAACCTTGAACAATCACAATCAGCAAAATACTTGAAAATGTCACTTATCCTCTGAAGATTTGACATCATGAGATTTAGCTAGTAAGCTCTACATACTTTTGAAGTCAAATATTTCTCAGTATCCCACAGTGTACCAGAGGAATAACACAGTCATCAAGTCAAGCTAGCTTTTGGGAGGTAGGCAAGGTACAAAGCACACATTTTGGATGGTCACTTGTGCTCACTATTTCGTACTTCAAAGCACTCCAGTTACCTGCATGATCCCAATGCTTAGCTGGCACACATCCTCCTGTGTCTTCTGCTGCTGGAAAACCTGAGGATGCAAGCATATTATTTCAGCAGAACAGCCTCACGTGGCCTTATTCCCAAGGAAGGCCTGAGTAACCTATCCCTAAAGAGATGACACAATTAGAGGAATGGCTGCTGGGACACAGTGTTTTTCCATCCTAAAAATGGGGGAGAAAATATAAGTCCCAATAAATAGTTTGATAAGCATGAGAAAATAACACACCAAAAGGACGGAAGTCGTAGTACATGTGATATGTATCATTGTTGGCTAATGGAGCAAAAAGCTTCAGGATGGAGTAAAAACTACCAGGATATTCAAAGATTTTTGCATCCTAATAAAGAAGGATTCATCATGCAAGTGAATTCACCGCAGATTCTTTTGAAAAATCTTCATTATGAAATTAGACAAGCTAGCCATAAAGATTAGAATAATGGAGGAGAGAGAAACCATATCTATATAGAGGAGCCTGAGGGAGTTTGGAAAAGTGTTAAACTCCCTTACAATGCTGAAACCTGAAAGAATACATCAGTATCACAATAAACCAGGGCCTCAAAGTACTGAGAGGATGGGGACAGAAGGCTGAGTTAAAGTTCTGTAAATAATTTGGATGCAACAGTGAGTGAAGAGTAACTCCTAGGAATGGCCTCTCCCTTCCTTTTTTTTTTTTTTTTTAAGATGTGAAGTCATGTCTACTGCTGTCTGAAATTTACATGAGTAGCATTTTTTTTTCAAAAGAACAGCTTTAAAGATTTAAATATAGGTTCAACCTGCCCTGTACACAAATTAGCCCTAACAAAGGAAGCACAAGCATAACTCCAAAAGCTAGCAGAAGTGAAGAGGGTTTACATGGAAAAAAAAAAAAAAGAAGAAAGTTTTATCCCTGGATCATTCTCTGACAGTTCTTTTTATGTAAATTACTTGGTTTCAGAACAAGAACAAAATAAAAGCATAAACCAAAACTTACACTGGTCTCTCCAGGTTTGCAGTCCAGCACAGTTTTAAGAGATTGCAAGGAATGAATAATGCACTGTTCAAACTGGGATGGCTGAAAGTCAAATGAATTGTTAGCTTTAGATAAGCATCTTAAGTATATATCACACAAATATATAAAAACTTCCAAGGTATATGGTAAGGTTTTTGATTCTAAGTTATCCCAAGTAAGGGGGGGGAGGGAAATCACAATTTGTATATTACCAGAGGACCCTTTTGTAGTAATGCACTTTTGTACAAAAGTTATCTACAGAATTATTACCATAGATCAATGTACATTTTTTTATCTGAATTAGAGACTTTTACACCAAACAGCCTCCTATAAAAGAGTCATGAAAGATTTTTAAAGCTGTTTGTGGCAGCATTACAGATACCTGTGACACACTCCCTCTTCTCCTCCTTGATCCAAGTTGGAATAGAATTTGATCTAGGATATCAGATATTTCTGCATTTTATTTCAGCAACAGGTTTCTAAGAAAATCATACTGGAATTGCTTTCACATGAAAGAGAAATCCCCCACTGGTTTGGGGGGCTTCTTTTACCTTCAGCTTTCCAAACCTCAAGTATAAGTATCTTGATACATGTATCAATTTGATTCTGAAAGTGCAAACAAGTTCACAGGAGAGTAATTAGTCACTTTTTCCTTATCTTTCTCTCTTCCCTGATAAGTTACATTTTATTTTTTTAATGATGCTGGTATTGGGCAGGAAGCTGTTGTGCAAAGCAACATGAAACAGTCACTGCTCCAGAAAAGAAAGACATCATCCTAGTGGGTAAAAGTGAACAAAAAAGTTTGTAAGCCATGTAAACTGCTTTTCATTCAGTAGATAGTTTATGGCATGTCACCAGCTGGCTTATGAGTAACTTTTATTCCAGTAAATGGTGGAGGTGGATTGTGAAACTGATGCCTGCATGGTAAAATTGCAATAATTTAAAAAGCCAGTAAGAAAATCTATATTTATTATTTTTTGATTCCTTAAAAGAAAAAGGCCAGCAGTAAAGTGCTGCTCTTGGGTTTTTGTTTCTACACAATAAAACATCACATCTCAGGAGAGGAAAGCTTTTCAGATACTTGATACTTTGGATATTATGAAGCTGAGAAAGGTTAGTTCTGTGTTTTACTGTATCTTTTTTACCCGGAATATAAATGTTAAAGTGGTTATCAACCAGTATTTCCTGCAAACTTAAAACACAGTTTCACTCTTCAGCCTAACATGTCCCCAAAGAGACTGCCTGGCCCTTTTTTATAAGGCTTAATTTTTGCTAGTTTTTGCTATAGCATTACCACAATGAGCTCTACTTTAGTAGGTAAATAACCTTGCTACAAAAAAATATAGTTAACTTCCACCACTAAAATCTGGCATGTCTCAGCCAATACCTAAAAAGGTATCTAGGCAAGTGCAGTATACAAGGAATTAACAGGTGACTTCTAAACACAAAAAAGACTTAAGCAGTTTCTTAATAAAGATAAGTTAGGATACAGCACGAGCATAAAGAAACAACACTTTTGTGGAAGACCCTTTCCCCGCCTCCATTTTACAGATGAATACAGTGAAAAACGGAAAAGTTAAGGGACTTGCCCAAGTCCGTGGCAACTGCAATCAAGATCAGAAGCTGTAAATCTGGTTATAGTACAACTGCCCAACAACACTCCTTCCTACAATATGTATATTGTGACTGCTTACTGCCCTCCTACTCAACTTCAAACACGTATTTATAGAAGCAAATAAGAAGAACTAAAAAAGTCTGTGGAGCATTCTCTTAGATAACATACACAAAGCAACTCTCCCTCCCACAGGCCTTTTCTGCTTTCGCAGATTGTTTTTAAGTCACACCTACAATGTGCTTGCTGTGTTTTAGGCATTACTCATTACTGTTTATTTCCAGAAAGCATCTCACTAATTTATCTGAATTTGGTTTCAAATAATTGGTTGTTTGTATGTAGGCAATCTCCTAAATTAGTTGCTTTTCAGTTCAATGTCTCATTACAACATATAAGTGACCTATTTATTTAGCTACAGACCAATACCATGGTAGTGTGCCTACTGAGTTATGAAGCATTTTGATGTGAACTGAACTTGTGACCTCAAATATGATTTTTTACTTCAGTAAACCATCCCTAAAATAAGATGCTTAACAATGGTTATTATTGTTTATCTCAGCAAAAGCATGCTAGAGGTCAGCAGTAATTACATTGACACATTTAAGTAACCCTATTTAAGGCAGAGAGCCATGGTACGTATATGGATGCCAAATTCTTATTTATATTTTTCTCTTAATATACAGCACAAATCTGCAAAACTTTTATTTATGATGTGGGTTTTTTTTTGTTTTGCATCTTCAAAAATAGTAGATCTATTATCACTTAAAGTTACTTCACATAAAAAGTATAAACAAAAAGTTTGGAAAAAAGAGCAACAAATAAATTTGTGTTTGGTGATGACACCTGTTAAGATTGCTGTAAAGACACTGTAACCATTCACACAACTTTTAAAAAGCTATCTTGTTATATTTTCATATTTTTATAAAACTATAGACACTGGTATGCAGATACATAGAAAAAGTCTGAAGTTACTTGACTTTTGGACAATATAGAAACCAGTTTTGTTACACATTAGGAAAAAAAAAAATCCAGCAAAGAAAGTGCCTACCAGACACCAAGTATACCCACCAAGGATGTCAAACCTTCATTGTCAACAACCCAGTCTTCCTTTTCAGCTAATCTCTTTATATCTGTAAGACAGAGTAAGAGGGGAATGGGGGGATGGGGTGTGGGGAGAGAAGGTATTCATTTTCATTATTAAAAACTCCTTGAACTTGAAAAGATAAACCACAGACATTGGGACTGCAATGACTAGGCATACAAGCAAATAGCACTAAAAGCTTCAAAGCTTTCAACACTCTCAAATGACTCAGAATGGAACTCATACATGGTATGCTGGTGACACCACACAGAGAAACACATCTATGATACATGGCAAGAGTTGCATGAAACACATAGTTTACTGGAAAGCTTAAAATTAGAGGAATATTGTGAAGGCTTTGGGTTTGTTTTTATTTTGTAAATTTTTAATCAAAACATAAAATACTGCATTTAAGAACCCAAGTCTCTAGTCTCTTATATTCCCACTCTTAATTAAAAATGAAAGAACAACTGCCTAGCATTTTAGCAAGACAGAAAGGACAGCGTATAATTCATATTCAGAACTATAAAAGAGGCACAAGGTCCCCACTCAGGGTCAAGGATCCACAATACTAGACTTTCTTAAAAAATACATGAAGGTATATGCAAGAAGCACTCTTCCACTACTCAAAAGGTGTCAACTTCTACTGGTTTACTAAAGCTAACAGGAGCTAAGTTGGGATGTGAATCCAAAGCTCATGGGCTATAAACACAACTTTTGTATGGACATTATGCATTGTAAATAGTGCATTATGCATTGTAAATTGAACAAAGATGAACTATGTGCAGTTTGTGGGGCTTTGACACACATTTTCCCCCACACAAATTGCTCATCAGAACTGTCTGCACATCATGAAACTCCCTTTTAAATGAGCAAAAATTTCAGTGAAAACTTTCCTTAAAATCCAAGAAAAGAGGATAATTATTGCATGTTGAAAGGTATCTTCACTATCTTGGTTGTTTAATTAGCTAACTTAAGAAGCTTGGTTATAATGTCATACTCTGCAAATCTATATCTCATGGAAGTATAGGCTCAGTAAGGATAATAACCATTCAGGTCTTGTGCAGAATAATTACTCTGTTCATTTTCCTACTTAGTAAACCTCTTAATTCAACTAATATTCTTGCAAGGGTTTAGATCATACTGGTCAGTCTAATTTACATGTTTCTTTGGTTGCTTACTTTTGCATTCTCTTCTTAGCTAATATACAAATATAAAACCCCCCAAATTTCTGTCTCATATTTCACTGCTTACCAAATTCCAGTCAAACACATTCATGTAAACCCCCTGTCGACTCTGGCATTCACATAATTTGTCTTTCATGACCTTTATAACCAGTGATCACATATGGGAGGGAAAGAACACAGACTGTCTCTCAGGGCCAGCATGTGTACATGGTGTTTATTATGAGACAAGAAAACCCTGTGCGTTGGTTGAGGTGCTCTACTGAATATTGTAACAATATCTGAAAATTGTAACTACATCTGAATGCCTTTACCAACTTACAGCATGCAGAGAGAGATGAGACTGAGCTTTATATTGGCACCTTATGCATCTCATGTTTTGGAGATACTAGTGAGTAAAATTCCAGTCCAGGAAGAGTTTTTTTGACTTATGTATTACAGATACATCTCAAATCTTTGTTTACAAAGCCTAGCCATGATGATGATTACAGATACAGCTAGAGATGTCTGAGATACATAGCTCCATGAGAATACTGAGAATACTCATTACTTATTCTTTCACTCATTCCCTAATAATAACAGTTTCTCCAAGGGCCAAATTAACCTGGTTGTGTGCAGAAAAAAGTCGCCATTCTCTAAATACATTTAGCAGTTACAATTTTGCTTCAGTTGGCAAAGAACAAAAAAAAAGGGTCCACCAACAAGGTGTGCAGTGCAGCAGCATAGAATGAGAGTCATAATACTTGCAGATATCTTTTCTCCTGTTTGATGCTATAGCCAGTACATAAAATTGCATTACTGATAGGGGATGGAAGTTGCAGTCAAGGAAGGCCGCTGTTATGGCTAGATGGAAGAGAGATACATTATCCAGCCAATAAAACACACTGCCAACTTTAGGAATCTGTTTTTTTTGATTCAAGACAGAAAAGTAGGAATAAAGATGTTCAGATCAAACAGAGAATCGTTCACATATAGACTTGTAAATGTGCTTTTACAAAAATCTAAGGTACAGACTACCACAAGATTTTTTCCTACACAGAATGTGTGTGGCCAAGAGTCGGAACATACAGAGCAGAAACTCTGCACCTAAACAAAAAGTTGGGCTACTGCCATGATGCAACAAGTAGGTAAAACTAGTAAGACAGCAGACTTTTTTCATCATTTATCACATATTGGAGCTCTCTGGACCGTGCTGGAGAAAATACATAGATAGCTCAGAGATCTGGTAAACTGAGAACTGTCATCAAAACGGTTCATAGCTAGATACCTCCTTCCTTTGAAATAGCAGGACATCTGAGGAATCACTCACAATTCACAGACAGTGGAATAAGACCATCCTCATGTCACAATTTAAAAAAAAAATCTTTTTCACCTACTATTAAGAAAAAACAAACTTATCTCAATTGTGTTGAGCAAAAAAAAGGCAAAACAGACTTTCTCATAGTTTAAGTGAAATCTGAAATAGTGGTAATATGTTTCAAACAGAGTTTTAAGGAGGTAAGACAATGTACGCACTTGTTTGGTTAGCTAGCTTGATATTAATAGAGAAAAATATGTTAATAGAGAAATAGGATTTAACAAGACAATTAAGAGCCAAGAATACAATTCATATCCATACTGTATCAAATAGACCATAGAGGCCTAGTGATTTCTTGTCACCAAAAGTTTAAAAATTTGCTTAATATAGCCACCTATGCTTGGCACATTTAAGCCTTGAGTAAAAACTCTTGGCATCATGTCAGCCTACAAAATCATCTTATGTTTAAGATTAAAAAGTGATTAAATTGTAAGAGCAAAAAAGCCCTAATTTTTTTAGCATTGAGAGTAATTAGTCTTCTGGAAAAAAAAGAAAAAACAAAAACCTGCTAAGTGAATAAGTAGATCAATCAGCCCTGATTTTAAGAGAGACATTTATTTCTAACAGATTGATTTCATTCAAATTTAAGTTTCAGAGTTGAATACAAAATGGCAAGATGAATGGTCTCTGATGGCATAGAGTCACATTAGATTTAGAGAGTGCGTTACTGGCCTTCACAATCCAGACATTTATGGCAAAAGTTGTGTACACAGCAAAAAGTCCCGGGGACTACAATGTTAGTAAAAAGCTTTGGAAAACATACAACTAAAATACTTCATAAAGGGCTGTGGATTCTTTTTTTTTTTTTTTTTTTTGTCCTTGAGAATGGGTCACTGCTCATTTAATTTTTCATGTTATAGAAAAACTGAAAAAAGAAAATTAACTGTATTTCCAATATAAAAAAACTGCATCATGAGACAAATCACTTGCACTGTAGAACTGTCTCAACCCAAAGGAAACAAGTCTAACCTTCTCTATTCATCAGGCCAAGAGAAAAGACTTCTATTTCTGGCAGAAAAATGAAATATTCAAGTAACTCTTGTGAGATATTACAGAACTCAGAGGAGTCCACTGCCATTACAATATCTGTAACAAACACGATTATTTTTCAGAACACAATTTGGCCTAATCAAAAGCAAAAAAGAATGACAGCAAGCAAAGAGACTTGCAGCCTTCTATTACCTTCTGCTGTGTGTTGTAAGGTCACTATAATGCAACGTACACGAAGGTCCAAAATAAGATCCTGGATGATCTGAAGCATATCATTGGGTATCTCGAGTGCAGTAAGAGACTCAGAACTAAGCCTGAAAGCAAAAAAAAATAGACAGAAGTATAAATCTTCAGGGTTTTTAGAGCTGATATAACTAACTTCATTAAATTTTTTAGAGATTTTCTGTGTATGTAAATATAATAGTTCCATTCTCAATGTATCTTTGAAAACCAACTACACTATTCTGAGAAGATCAATTTTTACTTAATTCAAAAGATTGCAAATGAAGATTTAATTTTCTCTAACATCACAATAATGTCATCAAAGCAACAGGCCAACTTTTTCTACTGTCTTCTTGTACTTCACTGCCTGCCTTTCTCCATCCATCTCTTGTCCTATGATCCAAGAATAATCCTTTTGGAACAGAAGTAGCTTTTTTTTGCTGTTTTTAGGTTAATGTTTCGATCAAACACAAAATCCACAACAGGGTTTTTGTGATATTTTTTAACCTGCGTGGCAACAGTAGAAGTGATTAAGCTACCATAAATGGTGATGTGGCTATGCATCACATTGGACATTGCTAAGAGTACAGACATTTAAGAAGCCAAAATATAGCTACTGCATCATGGGCAGAGTGAATTCATTCACCGTTTTGTTTCCAACTCTGCCCAGGTACAAATCACTGGCTGCTATAGGTGAGAATGGAGACATTATTTTCTGGTTTTTCCCTTTAGAAATAGCAACGTAGCAGCTGCTTGCAAGAAATAGCATTTCAGCTTTCTAATAAAAGGCTGAAGTTGTGCTCAGACTTAGGGGCACAAAGTGTGGTTCACCACTTTTATTCAACTCCTGGATATTTGAGCAAGGCCAATTCAAAGGCAGACATCGCTGTTTGCCCTACTGCTAACACTGAGCAAAGCACGGGTAATAGAAAGTGCCAAAAAGGAGGAATAGGAAGGCACAAGCAAACAAGTGGAACATTTCCAACCATCCACCTGTAGACTCCAGTTCCATACTCCTGGTGTTGGGCATAAGGCATCAAAACCCCAGTATTAATCAGACTGCTCTCCACTCAGCACAACTACTGAATTAGCAGATTAAAACAATCTGTACTATCTCAGCCAGCCAGGAAACACAGAATGTAAATATCCATCTGTGAGAAATTCAAGCTACTTTAGACTGCACAGAAGCCCTGTACTTTAGAGTTGATTCCATTTCTTAAGGAGCACACAGTTGTCGTATCCTTAAGATCATCTTTTTCCTCATATAATTTACCCTAACACACACATACTTTTTATGTTTTTATAGCAAGGCAAAAGTGTTGCCAACAATGGCTCACTTGATCACACAGTTCATGTGATCTGGAACCTGTTCATACTGGGTTATGACAGAAGAGGGTACAAGAGAAAGACTGTGCTACCACCCCACTTCAAGCTGTGTGATACATATATATGACCAGAAAAATTAAGATAACACAGATGTAATGACAACTCCTTGTTACATAACATTGTGACTTTTATCATGCTTAAATACAAGCAGAAAACAGCAAATCATTTGTGAGATGACAGAAAAGAGTAAAATTCTATCATGTGCTTCATCATGACTTTAAGATACAAACTATGAAAATAAGACAAGCTATTACATAACTTTGCAACAAACAGAGGTTTTATGCAATTTGTAGATTCTTCCTGGGAACAGCCCACCTTCATCATTGGTGTGAGTCACAAGAATTTATTAGATTGTCAAAGCGTGGGCGCTTGAAAACAAAGTACTTGCAGCACTTGGATGAACTTCTGACCTGGTCATCACTGGTCAGCACCCTGTAATGGTATGTTCAATTCCTCTTCTTCAGACTGTCCCCTTTTCTTCTCTATTTTAGATTGTTTTGCATTGAAGTCTAGTTCACTGTAGTAAAGTGCCATCACAGGCATCAGTAAGAACATGAGGTGGGGAAAAGAGTGGGAGGGAGAGAGGATTTCCCCAGCTCTCAGTTCAGTTGTTCGTTACCAGGGCAGTGCCCGGAAAGCAAAAGGATATTCTCTGAAAAAGAGCCTTCATATACCCTATAACCTTAGCCTGGATCTTATCTCAGATGGTAGGAGCACAACCAACCTTTAGAGAATCTGCTGGTTACATTTCCAAGCCAATATTAGAGATGTGCAAGTGCTAAATTCTAGAATTTTATAATTTGAGTGAACCTGGATTGCTTCTCATAAAGGGGCAACACTGCCCTTTATATCTTTTCAGCAAATATCAAGTCAGTTCCTTGCTAAATTGGAAGTTTTCCATAAAATTTAGCCAGAATAACAAACTTCACCTGGAAGTTTTTTTTCTGAGTGGGTACAGTACAGGTAATGTAAGTGACAACAGACTTTGAGAAAGTGTTAAACAGACTTAACAACAACATACATCACTGCTAGCTCCATCTGCACTAAGTATATCTCTAAGTGGTTATAACCCCTTTCTTCATCTGTGCTTCACTTGTTACTTGCTTTGAAAACTCTAGATAAAAAGTACAGTATCATATGCAGATATTACTCAAGTTTCCAAAAGATAATGGCAATTCTTGCAGCCCCCTTAGACAAATGGAAGCAGATTCTGCATATTAGTGAGATATTTCTAATTAATGAGATGCACATTACTAATTTTATAAATAAATATAATGATAGGCAGAATGGTATTATAAACAGGAATATCACCTTCCATCAAACAACTGTAACAGTAAATTATGATCTAAGAATGATACAGTAGTCAGAAGCAGGATATTTCCACCCATTTTTGCAAAGATGGGAAGATGTAGCAAAGGAAGCAAATAATTGCTTTCTAACCTAAAGAGTCAAATCCTGTTTCATTCATTGAGTGTCTATGCTGTGCCAGACAAATATTTTACTCCAACTTTTTCACAAGATATATAATAAGGTTATATCATAGAAGATGTCACAGAATATTCTGAGTTGGAAGGGACTCACAAGGATCATTGAGTCCAACTCCTAAGTGAATGGCTCATAAAGGGATCAAACCCACAACCTTGGTGCAATCATGAGACATCAGTAATTACATTTGCACACAGAATCCTAAATTTGCCATAAGTAATTTTTTTGCAATCCTATTTTTGAAAATGAAAACATTCTCACAACTCAGGGTATTTAATGCAGTGAACAAAACATTTTCTCTCAAAACACACGTATTCCAGGAATAGCATGTTTTTGTAGGTCCACAGATTCATTTACCTTACAGTTTGGATGACATGTGTCAGCCACTGGCCAGAAAGTTCAGATTTCATCTCCCAGCCACCATACTGTCTTAATTCTCCTTCTCTGAGGCTGAATGGAAGCAAGGCTCCACGGATAAGTTTCACCAGAGAGTGCATCACTTCCTGAATCATTTTCTGCATCAGAAGATGGGAAAGAAAAATCAAGGAAAAAGCTCTACCAATATGCTTAAGCAGCTATGTCCTTGCTATACATAAGAGCAAGGAATGCATGATTTACAGGGGGTTACATATGGCAGAGAGTAAAGTAGAAGGAGCCATAAAGGCACAGAAATGATTGAAGAAATTGGATTTTCAAGGCGGTGACACTAAAGCACCTTGCTATGAAGGACGACTGAAAGAAAGTAAGGCTCTCTCCGCCACATCTCCCCCAGCTACTTACCTTGAAATCATTTTGTCTTTGCCTAGCGTTTTTCTTTGATCTTTCCATTTGGCCAGATTTTTCAGCAGTCTTGTGAAAATGAGAAAATTGAAAAGTGTAAGTATCTTATAACCACTGTTCAAATAATTCTGAAAATGGGGGTTTCGAAGTGAAGAGGTGAAAACCAATGAGTTTATGATGCAATTATAAAAACTAACTCATGGCATTTAATAAGAAAAGACTATATATACCTCAATAAACTACTTATTGTAGGTCAGAAATCTAATGTTAATTCTGAGGAACAATGTGTACTTAAGACAAAGTCAGAGACAACCATAAGAATAGCTAAAGCAGTACAAACTTCTTGAGGACAAAATTTTTTCACCACAGTGCTAGGTGAGAGCTAAAACACATATAGTCCAATTGTGCATTAGGTTTATGTGAAAAAAACTCTATTTTCTCAGCATGGAAGCTGACCGGAGAAATACATCACTGTGAAGTTGGAGACAATTTTTGCAATAAGGGCAATTTGGAATTGCAAGATGGGAGGGTTGAGGGGGTTTGGTTTGGTTTTAGGAACAGTATTCTGTGGAAAATGCTCTTTAAGTAATTCCATTAATTGTAAAAGAGTCTCTGCAAAATAAACAACATCTTCACTGTCAGTCCTTTGAAAACAGAAGAATCGGAGTACACTTTGCATGAAACAGTTACAGTTGAAGAAAAACATGCTTTGACTAGTAGTCTTCCTGTTTGTAGTTCTAGCCTTCTGTGGAATCTACTGAGCACACAGTAGAGTAAATTACACTATAAAAGTTATTTCGAATACCAGGTTAAGTGTAGATATCGCAGAATTTTAGTTAGAAAATCTCCTGGTTTATGTTTGTACAGCAACATCTACTGGACAAGAAGTGCAACAACATGACAAGAGTGTTCTCAAAGAGAATCGGTTTACTTTCAAGTAATTACTTTGAAATGCTTTATTTTTCAAAATCCCTCTAAACTAAAATACTTAAGATTTTTAAGGTAAAACTAATAATTTGAAGTGAACAAATATTAGAGAAAAATAAAACTATTTAACAGTTTTGGAAAACACAAAGCTATGAAAAGATTGTACTTTTTAGCTCTGAATTATATGGTTTCAGACAAGAACAACATTCAAGTTATTGCTGCATATAATTCCCAATTCTTTCTTCTAAAGCTTTAAAAAGAAAATAAGCTGTATTCCTTGAAACCTCAGATAGCAACTTAAAATTCACAGTGTTTTACATCTGGATTTAACAGAACAATTCATAGATTTTTGATATCTTTTTTTTTTCCTTAGTGGTTTTGCTGAAGACCAATCCTAAACCTTTCCTGCACAGACAGACCAAAACTATCTTGTGGTAAGATCAACGGTTACTACTCATATATGAGACTTCACCTAAGAGTGATTCAAAGAACTCAACTTTTCAAACTGTTGAAATACCACATAAATTTTTAACTGACAGTATTTTAAGTAATTTTTAACCTTTCAAAACTAAAAAGAACAACCCCTCAAAAACAAACCCAACAAACTGAACAAGAGAAGATACATCTTGAAATGGATATGTGGAGATTTTTTTTTCTAAAGTTTTAAAATGTCTTGGAGACTTGAATAAGCTAACTGAAATAGCCCTCTACGTCATTTTTCACAGGTGCTTCTTAAAAAAAAATGTAGCAATCACCTTGCTTCCTGAATAAAGAGCAAGCAATGTGGTAAAAGAAATTTCTTCATGGAGAATTAAAATCTCTACTATTTCTGATAGAAAGACACATAAACTTTCAGTCTTGAATGCAGTGGGATCACAGACAGCATTAGGTGTTCTAGGAGTCTTCTAGCTTATGCCTCACACTCCTCTCACTCATCCTTAATTGATCGTGGCATGCAGAACACAAAGGAGGAATGAAGGATACGATCCCTTCTCTCTCCCAAAGAACTTGTGGGACTTCTGTAAGGACCATAGGAACAGAAGAAATCAAATGTATGGGGGTTAATTTCTCAGCAGCTCAGAATTTGGCCCAAAAGGTGAAGAGTATATGTACCTTATAGACTAACAGGAAAGCTACCTCTCTTGGTTTTTTTTAGTATATTGAAACAATGTTTTGTTCAGGCATGACATAAGATCACTACATTTTCCACTTGCAGTCATTTTCATAAGCAGAATTTCTCAACCTTGTTTACATTTCAAGTCTCCGTTTTTCTAGAAGTTGCTTTACTTTTCATTGTACACAGAAAAAAAAACCTCACAGTAACTTAACAGCTGAATTTGTAAAGTTTGATTTTCAATTGTATGTCAAATATAAAGGTTGTCACTTCCCTTATGAAATTGTTTTTGTGGAAGTCAGCAGTACTAAGGTTTATTCTTGATTCTACTTCCTTCAATGAACGTTATGTGCAAATGCTGTATCTTTCTTTTATCATGTAAAATGAGGATCACAAATAGAATCTATTTCACTGGAGCTACAATACACTGTAAAATGTGTTCAACATATAAAGAGCCATAAACAGTGGCATTAAATAGAATGAACGCGTGATACATTAATTCTTTAGTTAAAGAAATGGAAAATGAGAACATAAGCTTCCAAATGTCCTTTTTCCAAAGTTTTTGTTTCATTTTCTACTAAAGCTGCAAAGAATAGTAGACATTATGGCTGCAGTTCTGTTTGTAGTGGAATACTGTATACACAATGATTTAAGAATTTAGATAGTGCGTGTATAAAAATGGCAAGTGTCATGAATCGTTGCCTTTTTTTTTTTCCCCTGCTTCTTGGATTATCAGGATTATATTTACGTGATTTAGAACAACCAGATAACCTGAGCAAGAAGGACTAGAAGCACAGGTGATTGCAGCTGACTGCACTTCCAAACTGGACTCCCTACAGTGTGCCCGTGAATACTACTCTGGGCCTTGGTCATTTCGCAACTCTGGTCTCAAACCTACCCTCACTTCCAAACACTTAAAACTCAAGAAATGAGTACTCCTTTTCCAAAGAAAGGAAACAATATTTTTCTGTATGACTCTGTCTTTTACAAATCTCTATCCTTCACGCAATGTGCTATTTCTTCAGATCTCCAATGAAGGGCCAGCTATGAGTAAGAGGTGAAAGCACAGAGATACAGAGTCCAGCAACTAGAACACAGACAGACACAAAGACACACTCACACAACCTCCACTGTCAGAATTTGTAGTAATTCCACTGTATGCCTACATTCTTTTAAAAATAAAAAGAAAAACCTCTTACTAAAATGCCTTCTTCCAGTAAAATACAATCCTTCAGACATAATTATCACAGACCTTTGTTACTTACAACTCATTTATATGGAAGAATCCATACCTCACTGAATAAACTTCCATTCACGTAAGAAATCCAGAGCTTCCAGAAGTTGGGTAGCTGACTTACAACAAGTTTTGTCAACTTCTCAACAAATATAACTTGCTGAGGAGCTTTGTATCGCCAAGCTAAAAGGGGAGAGGAGGTGGAAAAAGCAACTTTAAAAATTTTAAAAATAACAACAATGTGGTTTTAGCTTGCTGCTGCTTTGTATTACACGTGACTATACAGTATATATAAAACTTTTCAGATAGAAAGGAAAAAATTTAAAGCTCAGTGCGTATACGTGTACACAATTTGTATATATACAAGATCTTCTCTTTTCAAATGCTTACAATGTTTTAGCACTATGACAGTATATACGGAATGGGTTCCCCTTTCCAGGGGTGTCTAAGGCAGTCAACCTAACAATCCATTCTGTCTTTTGCCTTCAAACCACTCTAAAAAGTAAGGTTACATGAAAGCAATCAAGATACTAGAAAGGTTTCAAATTAAATGTTGGCAACAGGTAACTTTTCCTGCTTTCTTATCCAATGGGGTAAATGGAGATTGTGGGGGGAAAGGGAGAAAGTTGAAAAGGGGCAGAAGACAAGAACTAATATACACATATATAACAAAATAAAGGAAACTTTGTGAAATATTCTTCTATAACCATCTGTCTTCTCCACTGAAACTTTTGTGATTACAATGGTTTAACAAAACAGGCTATCAGCATAACAGTGATAATAATAATGGCCAGTCTTCGCGAGCGAAGATCCGGGGAAGGTCTTTCCACCTTCCAGCCTGCGCATTGGATTTTTTAGGTGAGACACAGTGTGCGCGGAACTGAGCCCACCCTTTAATCCTAAGGTTCATCTGCCGGGGCCAAGCGAGCTTGGACGGTGGCAGCGAGGTCCTTAGGACGTAGGTGGGTTGCCTTTAAGGGCTAACGAGCTCCATCTGGCCCGGGGAGTGGCCCTGACCGGGAATCGAACCCGGGTCTCGGCGGTGACAGTGCTGCGCCCTTACCACTAGACCACCAGGGGCTCCCTATAACAGTGATAAGAGACTTGTATTTCACCTCAAGAATTAGAATCCACTTTAGAACACTTCGACAAAGAAATCACACATTTTTGAAAAAAACCCAAACCAACCAGCCAAAACCCCCACAAAACAAAATAAAAACAATTTAAAATGCCATGTTGGTTACTATGAGGGTTTTTTGTATATAAACTCAGGTCTTCTACAAAAGATAAATTTAAAAATGTGCTATTACCCTACATAACTCCATGGAAACGCAGAAAAATGTTGCATGAAATAACACTTTTTGTATTTACTTTGCTAGAGAATATTGCCCAAGGAGAACAGGAATTCACCAATTCAGCAAAAGTAGCTCCACATTATGTACCTAGTAGGCTTCACCAGAGCCTCACTATTTTGTTGTGTTGGTGGACAGTCTTGAAGCTCCTTCAAGTACATCATGCCTTCAGCAGCGTCCATTTGTCAAGATGCAAGTCAAATACTGGTCCATTTCACTAGCGGAAAAATAAATGTCTGCACCACCCAAAATATTACTTTTTCTCATGGCCAAAAAATTTAGGCAATCTGGATTAGCATTTGAAAATAATATCACAGTGAAAGCCCAAAATTTGGAAAGGGGCCTGACATAATTCAAGTGCAACTGTGCTGATAGAGATGCATCTGTTTAGGAGGCATGAACACTTCAAAGCTTAACTAGAAGAGCTCATACTGTGGACACAGATATTTTCACCAGTTTGGTTTATGACTGTCAGAGAACTAGTCCAGACCCAGAGCAAGAAAAACTCTTACTAACATAAACTGTGACTATGTCAGGAAGTTGTGCCAACACCCCTATAGCAGCAGATACTCTGTAATGTCTACAAATCCCAAGTTCTAAGAAAAAAATTTCTGTTCCTTCAAGAAACTTCCTAGGATAAGCTACTGTACATCATATCAAAAGGTTCTGGCCATAAATTCAGGACTTTCTACTTTGCTCCTAGAGAAAGCTCCAATCTATATTAAAGTAAAAATTTACTTTTATTCCATTTATTCTATTATAATCTCTGCTATAACAACCTAAAGAAGAAACTAGAACTACTGTCTGTTGTTTACAAATTCTCATGAACATATGCTCAAGCAAGAGCTGAATGTTACTTCCATGCTGCAGTTTTGAATTCATAATAATTTCTTCTAACAATCTCTTGGACAATCACTGTCAAACACATTGGGCAAAAAAACCCAAACACACCAAAACAGCCCAGAGATGTCATTCCTCAAATTTACTTTAAAAAAAAAAAAAAAAAAAAATCCATAACCAATCTGAAAACGGAGCACATCATGGCACATATGGAATGGCAGCTCCTGCACAGGTATTGGTTGGTTTGCTTTGTCTCTGCACTCAGAGAAGAGCAAGGATAGCAGAGCTTCCAACTGTTCCTACACATGCATCTGTCATGTGCACCTAAGTACCAATGAACTCAACTTGAAGGTAACTCATTCTAACTGTTGGGTCTTTGGGGTGAAATTATTATAGTGCTCCAATCCTTACAGTTTTCCTTTGAATCTTGGTTTAAACTGGTGGCTATGGAACATGCAAAACTTGCTGAAAACTTACCTTTACCAGTTTGTAAGAGATAACAGATCCATAACTAATACTCTAAAAGTAAAGATAACTATTGAAGTGGAATTTCCTGCCAGACAAGTCTCTGCTCTTGCAAGAGAATTCAAACAAGTTAAAAATAAATTGGTTTTGGGTGTTGCTTGCTACATTGTGGTACAAGTATTGTTAATGTATGGTTTTCAAAAACAACCAATAATTTACTGTTTTGCTTTGTAACACTTGTTAATCAACTTCATTTGAGGCTTTGGGTTGAGAAAGGACAAGGGTAACAGTAAGACAATAGTGTAATTACTCTGAATACAAGTATCTTTTCATTGAAGAGTCCGTGTAATTCACTTTTTGAAAGACAATCACTCAGCCACAAACTGTGACAATATAATTGTCTTGCCTGTGCATGGCAGCACAAGAATGTGTAATTCTCATTATTCTTCATTCTATGTTCTTGAAAGATACCTTTCCCTTCATTCCTCTTTTTGGAAGGAACTCCCACAACCATATTTATAGGTGTTTTTTCAAGTACGCTGACAGAACTGGGAGAGGAATAACATCAAAGCACACCAAATCCAAAAATTTCTTCATAAAAACTTGCTTTCTGTAAAACAGTACTTCGATAAGAAATTATCTATTCTGTGAAAAACATGTTTTCTGTCTCCTATGATGTCACCATAGAAAGACTCCTCAGATGAAGTTGTTTGGAAAGGATGCTGAGGACACTTAAGACACATAAGGGCTTAGTTGGTTGTGGACAGACAGATGGCTTGAGCTTAGTCACACTCTTTGTTTCCCTTTCCTAGGTCTGGAGAATTGGAGACAAAGGCACAAATGCAAGGAGAACCATCGTAGCAAACATGCAAAAGTTATAAAAACAGCAAAAGGTAGTAGGCAGTAGGTGGCTATGCATACAAAAAAAAAATTCTGGTTTTGTAGAAGAAAGACTTTTATTATTTTAACCACATTTTAAGAAGCAAATTTTGACTATGAACTGCTCTTTGCTTGCAAGAAAACACAGAGAAACCCTTTAGTAAGCAACAGTAATGTATGAGAAGAAAAAATTGTATTTGGTAACAAACCAAACCAAACACACAGGGTGTGGGTTTCTGGGTTTTTTGACTACACCATACCCCAGATACGGGGGGCTGCAACTTTGATTTTTCAAATAAAACAGATGCCTACCATCATCACGGCCAGACTGAAAGCTGCTGCCCCTTTTCAGTGAAGCAGTTTGACTGAGATGGCCAATCGGTGATGGACGCACATCACTTTCCAGGTCTAACATGGGGCTGTGGAGCAATGAATTGCCTAGGGATAGGGAAAAAAAAAACCCAGAAGTTAGAATAATTTTGCACATCAGCTGACATGAAATTTCATGTTGCATGTGGAATTCTCATTTAAATCACTGATGCAAAAGTTATCTTACAAAAACATTCTTAATCTTGGCATATTTAGACAGTTCATATATTTTAACACAGTTCAATAATACGCTACTGATTCCTGTAGCAAAGCCAAAACCAAAAGTAACACGTGGAAAATACCATTCTTTGGTCTGTATGTTTCTCTGTTTTTAATTAGTGCCCTATAATTAGCTAATGAAAGGCATGGATAAATACGTATTTATGCATCTAGTGACATAGCCCATGCTTTTTTTCTGGTGTATGTCCTAAATACACTTTTCAACAGCAAAAGTTTCTTGTGTGTCCAGCTGAAGCAGTTAAAGGCAAAGTGTTCAACTCGTATTTAGCTGTTTCACCTCTACAGAGTTCAGGTATAAAGAATCCATCCATCATGAAGCAGATGAACTAACGGTACTGTATGTTTGCATGTGTGTGTAAAACATCCCTTACTTATCTACAAACCCATAAAATATTTTCCAGTGTATTGAACAATTATTTTCTTCTTCGGGTGCCTCTCCATATGTGTATCGCTATTCACAAGTCCTAAGCAACAATTTAATCCGATGGAGGTGGATACTTGGAGTCTAACATGCATCTTGAAAAACATAAGAAAAAGCAGACCATGATGACTTCTTGATGTACTGTGACACTACCAACAATTTTTTTAAAGTCTAAATTGCTGCTTTTTGCATTTCTCACAATAGATATAGTTCTGAAAGTAACCATCAAAAATTATTTCAGCATTGCCCAACTGAGTTGTAACAACTAAACTTAAACTGATCACAATTAATAGAATTATACAACAATACAGGCTGTAAATGATCTCAGAAAATCATTTGGCCCAACCTTTCATGGGAAAGGGAGCCAGAATGGGATTATCTAGCACCCTGTCCAGTTTCATCTTGAAAACCTCCAGTGATGGGAACTCTACAACGTTCCTGGGGAGGTTACTTCAGTGACTGACTGTTCTCATGGCAAAAAAAAAAAAAATCCTCTCTTAAATTGAGATGAAACCACCTCTGGTAATTCACACTAAATTTTGTAGTGAGAATCTTAGCGTTTGAGTTTATATTGTTGATCTTTTCCATCGATAACTACATTAATTTAAAATAAGAGGAAGGTCACAGAGGAAGAACACCAGCTGTAACACTGCAATTCTCAGATTCAAGAGTAACACAAAGTAAAAAGGTCTCAAAGCACATTTATTTTAAATTTATGCTGGTGTCAGACTAGCACGGCAGAAAGATATACCTAATCATTTTACTTCAACAGCTGGGGTTTAAAGAGCAATACTAAGTATTGTGAAACTTATCACAAACTTCCAATAGGTGACAGTATTGGGTTTTAGTTCATTTTGAAAGAAGTTCTTCCTTCCATAAAGGTTTTTAAAGAAATGTCCTGTGGCCTTTCTCCGTGGCATTGTCATTACCAAGATAACTGTCAGTTCCTCCATTCATCTTATTACTGTTCATACTGTAAGACACCTAAATAAATAGAGCCAATTTGCTACATTGTTCACAATTGTGATTGACACAATTAACTGACTTGATGAATCCTCCTTTTTATCTTTAGGCTGTGTTATGATTCTGATCACTCCTGCACCACATAACACAATTCATATTTATGACACCAATAAAACTGATGAGTTTTCAGAACACAGAATCCACTGCAGTAATTCAAGTGTATTTTCCACTGTCACCACAGGTGAGATTTACAGTGAGTTTTAACAAGAATTTGTGAAAGACTTTTCCTTTTGAAAGAACTAAAAATATAAAAAAATGAGAAAGCAAAAAACTAAAGCTTTGCAGTAACTGACATCCATGAAAACAATCCAGCAACCTGACAGAATGAAGTAAAACCAAACCAACTTGATTCCTTTCCAGAGTAAAAAATCCACACAGTTCAATATCTTACAGAAATTCTACACTGAATAAAAAGAAAATTTTAGAAGACCCTCAGAAATTTAGTGTCTCACGTAAGTTCACGGGCTTCGAAGAGCATTTGACTGAGAAAGAACATATCTGCATTTTATTTGAGGGGGTTTGGGGAAGAGTATGCCAAGAAGACCAAGTCAGAATTGTCACAGGCACAGCTATTTAAAACACACATTATAAAAAACCCCAAACAACAACAAGAAAAATAAAGAGTGTAACAATGTTATTTTCACAAATACTTCAAAAACAACAAAAAAATCCCTCCTTAATCTCTCTCCATAGAATTTAAGTTCTCAGCTTTCAGACATCTTGTTAATATGAGGAATGTCTTGTAAACAGATGGTCTCTAAAAATGACAGTGCCAATTAAACCTCAGAATTAAGAAAAACAGACACACTTACCAAAACATCTTAATATGAATTAGTTCAATTAAAACCATTTGCTCAAGGTATGTGAAAACTTGAACATTCTGTATTGCTGCTGATAGACTAACCTCATGCAGCCCAAATGCTTTATGTATTCACCAGTAACAGAAAACATGTAAAGAACACTCTCTTGTTCCACCAGAAAAACCACATCATCAGTTTGCAGGCGTACCAGGAAAAGAAAGTTTAACATGAACTAATTTCTTAATTGGTTGTCTAGCATTACAAGCAAGTACAACACAGCAGCAGGGAACTACAACAGCTCATATACCCTCAGGACTAATAAACATCTGGACTACATTAGCAAAGCTGATCTTGCTTTCACCCTACCAGAAGATAGCGCTTGAAGACTGCACACTAGTGCATAAATCTTGTAAAAAAAGTGAGAGTTAACTTACAAACAATTTTTCTTCTATCCCAACTCATTCTCTCTCTGGAGCCAGCAGCTTAAATTTAGCAGCATAATGTAATACAATGAATTAACAGTAGTATGGACTGTAGACAATAATATTTATAAACCTAAATAAACTAACCAAATAGTAATTTACTGCCCATTCACTATTTGATTTGTGTACTATTTTTACATTCCTAGATCCTGAATACAGGACAGCAACAAGTTTACAGTTTCAAGAAATTAACTTTTTACTGTGCTAAAAGGTTTTAAGAAGTATAAACAGCATGAACAATGTATTCCTGGTAGATCTCTGCTTTTAAAAAATACACTGCATCTCTGAAGTTATGAAAGTAATTTTTTCCAAAATACAGCATATATGTCAGTGACTCCAGTGCCAAGTGTATATTTAACCAAGGAAACACAGGAAAAATAAATGTAGCACATTTTCTTCTTCTACCAAACAGTCATCACAAACCATAAGTATAATTAATGCCTTATTACATTTAAAACTGTAATCTTAAGGAGTTTAATACTGCTTTAATTTTTTTTTTTAAACAGGACTTTACTGGTTTTCAACTTTTTGTGCAGATATTTTGAAAGTGCACAGATATGTGAAATAGAAATATTTCAGCAGTGTGAAATAGAAATATTTCAGCAGTTTTGTTCACATCTGTTCTAGTGCAGTAAGATCTCAGCAAAATAAGGATTTAGAGAACACAGAAAAAGCACAATTCTTTTTGATGTTATTCATCTAATTTGTGTTTTCGCTTTCTATAAATCAAAAGCCACCTGTGCTGACCCCTAATCGCAGGCTTATCAGTACTGGAGTTACTAGAGGGTTCTACTGTTCCTACAGTACCTCTAGCTCATGTACAAACCTTGACACCATTTTCTGGAATGTTACCTGCATGCTCTTTGCATGCAGCTGTTACAACCTCCATTAAAAACATGACTAACATGAAATTTGCCTAAATTAGATTTTTCCATGATACGCAAACCAGTCAATGATTTAAACTTTTAGAAGCGGCTTTATTTTCATGTTGCTTCACTATTACTAAACCGAGTATAAAAATTGTTCTGCAATATCGGCCACTTCACAACTCTGCCTGTTTTTTTTTTCCTTGCAGTCTGGCAGGTGGAGGTTTTTCTTGTGGGAGTCACACTCCGCTCGAATCCCTTCTGCAACCTACCTCAGCCACTCTGCAATTCTGTCACTCCAGTGCATAATTATGTGACATTCAGTAAAGCTTTTTACAAGAGCTGCTGGTGATCAGAGGATAACACAGTGCCAATACTTTCTGCAGTGACAAAGAAAATTGTTAACAAGTGACCAACCTTAGGCTAAGTAATTTTTCAACAAGATTTTCCATGGTAACTCAAACATTTGTCATTACACAGACTTGCTCATATACAGCATATATATGAGCAAGATCAAATAGAAAAAAAAAAAAAGACCCTACAGATGTGCAACCAGGTGAATACAGTTACTGTATTTTCTCATCCATTATGTATCTTACAGTGAATTTTCTCACAGGCTACAATAGTGAGGGAAGGCTGATCTATAGCCTCCGGACTCTCTGAAGGGCGGCAGACTTCCTTACCAGCCTTAAACACCTTTGAACATTTTTTCCTGTGCACAGCGGGCCCTTGTCCTGTGCTACAGCCTGACCACCCACTGTTGCTTGCTGACCAAACACACAGTGCCTGGAGCCTGCACCGACACAACCAGGATAAGATTCCTTTCAAGGACACCGCATTGAGAATTACAATTTGTCTAGGCAAGAAATTAGGCGAGCAGGAGAAATTACTGAAAAATTAACCTGCTCAACAGATGAATGACTGCATTTTATTATTTTTCTTGAGTAATTTTTCTTTCTAACCTTATATTTTATAGGGATCTGACATTTCTAAGTGATCAAAAAGAAAATGGGTTGTTTTTCTAAAAAAAACAAGACATAAGTGCAGAAGATTAAAATTGATGCACATAAAAAATGCTTTCGGAATACATTTAAAAAGTAATGCTTTTTTAAATCTTAAGGTTAGTCTTCATTATAGTAAACATATAGTAAACAATGAAACTGTTTTTCAGTTTAGCACAAAAAGGATAATTGGGCCTATCCGTTCTAGTGGTGTTCTAAGTATTTCACAGCCTAAG